ACATCATTAAAAGTTTAGCTACGTCAGTTGCTTACTTTAAAGTACCATATTATAATTAAATTATATTTGAAACTGCATTAAAAATTGGTGTAAAGACTTAATAAAATATCTTTAAATTAAACAATATTTTTATAAAAAAAATTATAAATAATATTTAAATATGTTGTTTAGGAAAAAAAAAATCTTTATTTTAAAAAACTTATTTGAACTTTATTTTTTAAACATTTGTCTTAATTTGTAACATTTTTTAACATTTAAATTTTAAACATTTGTCTTTTTGAACATTTATCTTAGTTTAAACATTTGCCCCAATTTTTTTTTTAAACATTTGTCTTAGGGATCGTCCTTAAATTATGCAACGCAAAACTCATTTTAAAAATATAAGTAGGAGATCATTTTGCTCTTTAACAAGGCGGTTTCCAGTGGAGTTGAAAAGTTGTTTATATTCTTCATTTAATTAAAGACTATGCGATGGAAAACTTTTAATCCTTTGTCTTTTGTCTATAAGTTTAGTTTCGCATTAGTTAGTTTATGGAACAATCCCTTATGTTAATATTTTTTTAAATGAAGGGGCATTTGTTTATGGTTGAATTTCTTAATAGTCAAAAAATAAATAAAAACTATCAACCTTTTTTTTAAACCATTTGGCTTTAACAAAGTCTTTGTATACTTTTTATAATATAGTTTATCATTTTTAATCCAGGCTCATTTTATGATCAATTCCAAAAATAAATGATAAAGAAAAACTTTTGTTAAAAAGCAATTTCAAAAATAAAAAAACCATCTTTTCATAAATTTGTTATATAAAATTTATTTAAAAAATTCTGCAAAATATTTTCAATAAATCTTATAATTTTGCTTACAGGCTTATTATGGTTTACCTGGCAATGAATTTATATACAGTTATATATGTGTTAAGCCCTTTCATATTTTAGCACTTTCATAACAGAATGAAAAAAAAGTTATTGATTTGAAACTATAAATAAATAAACAAAATAGTTTAATGTAATACAAACATTATAAAGTAACTTATTAAATTTATTTTTAAAAAATTTTATTTCTTTTACATAGTTTAGAAATTTTAGCATTAAAAAAAATTTTAAAAAGAATTAGGTTTAATAAAATAAATTCATATTTATTAGTATTTAATAATGAATTAAATTAAAATATAATAAAATAAATTAAAAATAAAAATTTTTAAAAAAAAAAATAGAACAAATTTATTTTTTTTTATTTATGTTTTTTACAACAATAAATTACTGCTTAACTTTTTCTGCATAAACTATTTTAAGACTGATTAAATAATAATCTAATAAAAAAAAGTTTCGGCATATCGTAAATGGCTTAACGTGTAGGTGAAATCGCCATTTCATTCGTAAAATTCAAATGGCGTAACACTTCTTAACAATGCCTGTCATCTAGCTTCACTTCTAGCATGTTCTACATACTTGTCACTAGATGTAACAGCACTACTTTTTTTTTTATTAATAAAATAAAAAAAGGTTCCAGTCTAAAAGTTGCGTTTTTGTGGTTTTTAAAAAATAAAATTTAATTATATTTAAAAAATAGTTCCTCAACTAATTTAACTAATTTTAAACAAATCATACTTAATATTATCATTTTTAAAGAAGAGAGTCTTTACGATAGAAATATATTAGTAAGATTTGCTAATTTTATATTTATGTTGTTGTATAATCATTTATGGCTTCTTTTTAATGTTTTCTTTGACATTTTAGTTTGTACGCAGCTGTTGTTTTATGCTTTATATGTTAAACATATATTCATAATCACGTCAAACAAGATATGTCATTAAAACATTTAATTACTTATTCATACAATTAGGAGATATATAATACTACAGTTAATGTCCATGAGCAAAAAATCAGAAATGCAATATCGAAATACAAGTTAATCTTCCTTCAGAGATGCATTTCCAATCATATAATTCTGCCATCTTTGAAAGTTAGACTGCCAATTAAATTGAAAAAAGTTGAAATTATTACTAAAAAATATCAAAGAAAGTTATTGATACATGTCCAAAACATAGCAAAATATAGATTTTTTACAAGTAAGAATGTTATAAAAAAGTATTTGTAATAATTTAGAGAAAATTTTGACACCCAATCATTATAAAATTATTGAAAGTGTTACTAAGACATCGAAAAAACATCATTACTAAATTAAAAAGTAGCATATAAAAGAAAAATTCAAATCACTTTATGAAATGACAATAAACAAAAACAAACAAAAACAGATTAAATAAAAACATAGTTAAATCTGGAATTTTAAACTTAATGCAAACTCATTTAGACACCTCCACTACAAGTCTCCTGAATCTTGGAACAAATTTTTCACAGTTTCAGAATTTTCCGATGTGGCCAGTCGTTAAACAAAATCTTAAACAATAACAAAATAAGATTATCAAACTCCTCCAATACTCGTGCCAATACTCGTGCCAATACTCCTCCTTGTTTATCTATGAAACAAAATCTTGATCAATTGATTCTAGTAAAGTTCAACTCCCTTTTGATGTAATAGCGTTATATCTTTCCATTTCAATTGACAAAACAATTCCTATAACTATCAATATTTTATGCAACATCATTAATAATGGTAACAAAAGAACCAAATTAACGCTTATTTATATACAATAACTCTGCCTCAACCAACATTATTTTTTATACAAAAACAATACAAGATCTATATAAAAGAAAATAATAAAAAAGAATTAAACTTCTTGGATATAACTGTAACTAACAGCAATAACTCATACTATGAACTCAAAATTCACTAAAAGTTATCACTAATAAACAAATAAAACAAACATCAAACAACAAACCTTGTTCTATTCTTTTTCAAGACTTTATTTATCTGCAAACATATTACAAACATCATCTTAATGATGAAATACAATTTTTAGAAAGCATGTTTGCAGATAAATAAAGTCTTGATACAATTGCCAAGAGCTATATTCAGAAAAAAAAAAAACCTTTCTAATATAAGTTATAAAGCAGAAACAAATAAGTATACAGTTAAGTCCCGTAGCTCCCAAGAATAGATCCACAACTTGTGAAAACGAGTTTTTTTTAGCTGTCTTTTAAGTTTCATGTGAATTACTTTATATGCTGAAATCTTCCTGTTAACTTTTAATTTTAACTGAATTTTTCTATTACCACTGTCTAAGTATTTTAAACCAAGTTCAATCGCTGTTGTTTAAAATGTGTTAGTTTGATTATTTGAAATGCTGATTGTCATTTCCTGTGGTTTATCATTTAGTCCTGGTTTGCTTGCAACATTGTTGTTTAGATAGGTCTTGCATTATCTCTGTGGACACACAGTCTGTGCTTGTGTCATCCAACAAAGCAACGACAATAACCATCTTTTCCACCAGAAAGGTTTCATTATAACTTTCTTCAAGATGACTGGAATAGTTCTATGTAAATTTCACAATCTTTTATTCATTTTCGAGTTTAAGTTATTAAATAATACATTTTTAGTTTTTCTAACTCACCCATTGTGCTTATCTTAAACTGTTTAGTGTTTATCTTAAATTGTGCTTATTTTAAACTGTTAAATTTGCTTCCTTTGTTTTTTCAAATACTACAATGCTAATATTAAGCAAGAATTTGCCTAATCTTTTCTCTGAAGCTTTCTGTAAAATGTTTCATTTTACATTTATTAGACTTAACTCTATTTTGATTTTATCTTTTTGTAGAGATGCCATAGTTCTATCCATAAATCCATTATTTCTTATATCTGATAATCAGATTTCTTTTGTTGTTCTTTCACCTCACATCTACTTAACATATCATCAAATAATTTCATTCAGTTTTGTTTTGTATATGTTAAGAGTGACTTAGTCATTTTCTTTCTTCTACTTGAGCTTTTTTATATTTGTATCAGGATCATTATTTTAAATCTTTTTTGTTCAACAGTTAGTTTTTTATTTTTTATTTTATTTTGTTTATTTTTTTCTCCACCCATAAATGTTTATGGATCCATGAACTTTAATAACATTTGTGTTAACTAGCTTTTTGTTATATTTTAATATTTTATACTTTATTATTTGTTATGTAAATGTTTTAATAACAATTTACATTTTTTATTTTGCATAAATGTTTTTGATTTTCTTGACCTTTGACTTTAATACAACGCTCGGCAATAATATGATTTAATATTGTTCACCATACAATGGCGATTTGACAATAATATGATTTAATACTGTTCACCATACAATTTTTGACAATAATATGATTTAATACTGTTCACCATACAATGTTTGGCAATAATATGAATTCATTTTGTTTACTATACAATGACGGTTTGACAATAATATGATTTAGTATTGGTCAATATTACTACGCTCTGCTAACAAATTTCAACTTTAAGAATGAAAATGAAATAATTAGTATAATATTTCACATAATTAATATAAATACAACTAATGTATATTAGTTTTGATTATATTAATAGTTAGGTATAGATGTATTTAAAACAATATACTATAATACATGTGGGGACTTCAGTACATAGATTGCCGCTACATCGACTAAAAATTTGAACTAGGGCAGCAATTCTTTTTTTCATTATTCTGTGTTTGTTTTTTTTTACCCAGAAGCTATTTTTAGGAGTACATACATTAATTGAGAGTTTGGCATGACAGTATTTATGTATGAAGGACATGACATGTATGAAGGACATTTATTATGGGAAAAAATTGTTATAAGTTTTTTTCTCTTTGTTTGAAAAATGTCTAATAGTTTCCATTTTACTCTTTAGCCATGAAGCATATTTATATTTATATATTATCATAAGTAATATTTATTATAGTATAATAATACTATAGTATATGAATTGCTTTACACTAAAGGATCAATAGGCTGAGTTTAAAAATCAGACAAATAAAAAATGAGATTATTAATGAATGAAAAAATGTTTTTCTTAATTCTTGTTTAAAATGATAATAAGTTAGAGTTAATTTAATTTTTTTAATATTTTAGCACCTCTTGGCCATCGAAATAAAATAATAAGGGAGATAAACCAGCTAAAACAACTGAGCTATTATAATGATGACATAGTTGGCTGTAACAATGATAATGATGTGGTTCCTAGTGATTTCTTATGTCCTATAACCATGGAAATAATGGTAGATCCAGTTATTGCTGCAGGTAAGTTTTAAATGTTCTATAATAAAGGTATTATTTTTATAATATTCATTAACAACTGCAAAAAACGACTGCTATAAATATTTATATATATACAGTGGGTCAAATAGTAGACATGATTTGAAAATTATTGTTACCCAAGTTTATTTGAATAGGTTTTCTTAAAAGTCAAATTAATTTCTTGTATAAACTTCTGCTTATAAACAAAAGTAAAAACAATTTAATATAAAAGTCTTACATGTGGATAAGCAGCAAATTTTTGTTTTGTTGTGATTCATGCTTAAAAATCAGTGTTGAGTAATCAACTACGACATTTTAACGAATTAAATTTTTAATCTTCAACTTGAACAGTTTTTATCTTAAAAAAGACTAAAATAAAATAATAGCTATTACAGAATTTTTTTTTCAGTTTTTAATTAACAAGTTGCTTCATGTATCAGGAAAAAATTTGCCAGCTAAATATAAATAAAAAATCTTTCTAAAAATAAAATTTGCTGATCAGTATAACAATCTAAAGTGTTTAGCAATCTAAAGTGTTAAGGTCTATACATACTCAATTCTAAAAAAACTCTCAAATTTAAACAACACTATTAACCAAATCTGAATAATATCTAGTCCAATTATGTGATATGTGAAATATAAGCAAACTACCCTTTGATGAATTTTTTTTTGTTTTTTGTTTTTGAAATTGCCACACCAAAACCTTTCAAAAAAATTTTTTAATCAACCCTATATCACTTTCCTCTCAATAGCAATAAATGGATGTTTATGCAAACAACTGTTTGGTCCACTGTAATATAGTCAAATGGAGTAGTCATGGAAAGGTTATGCAGTAATAAAGTAACATCATACCTCCAGTAATATTAAAATAAATTAGTTTGCATTTTTTTCTTTTAATTATAAAAATCATAAATTTCAAAAAGAAATCACAATTTATTTAATATTGGCTTATGCATTAACCATGACTTATCCCCATGAATTAATTTATGCATTAACCATGACTTATCCCCATGAATTAATTTATGCATTAACCATGACTTATCCCCATGAATTAACCATGACTTATCCCCATGAATTAATTTATGCATTAACCATGACTTATCCCCATGAATTAACCATGACTTATCCCCATGAATTAATTTATGCATTAACCATGACTTATCCCCATGAATTAATTTATGCATTAACCATGACTTATCCCCATGAATTAATTTATGCATTAACCATGACTTATCCCCATGAATTAATTTATGCATTAACCATGACTTATCCCCATGAATTAATTTATGCATTAACCATGACTTATCCCCATGAATTAACTAAATCATAGTCAAAGTATTTAACTAGTCTTGAAACCCAGGCCGTTGTCTATGGATTTCGTAAAATAACTTAAACTTTACGGGGTGACCGGACTGAAAGTGATTTAAATATTTTTTTAACTGATGTTTTATGGAGACTTTGATATTTTGAATGAATTGATTGCTGTTTTAGCTGCTATTGAGTTGCTATTTGTTTGAACCTCAAATTTTCTTCAATTGTTAGGTTACCTAATTTAATTTATCCTAACCAAAGCGAAGAAATTATATTTATGTGTCTGTTTTGCAAGAAACGATGTATATCGTATGGTAACTGGTCGTCTCAACGCCAAACACAAGGAAAAGATTACTGATTTTAAAAAAGAATTTAAGAAAGAATAAAAGAAAGCAAAAATTCTTCTTTAACCTATTAGGTTTAAAAATTTTTTTAACTCAGAATGCAGTAAAGCTTGCTTCAGATAAATGGTACCGTGCTATAAACAGATTTTAAAATCAAGTATAAATATTTCAATTATTTTAGATGAAGTCATTACAGCTTAGTTGCTAGTAAAAATGTAACTAATTCATTTGATAGAAATGCTGAAATTTTTACCACAGAATTTACAAAATATTTCCTGAAACAATGAGTTCTTTTTAAAACCATATTTTAAGCCAAAATTGTACTTTTCTTTAAAGTAGCATATCTTATTTTAGTTTATCTGACTGGTACCTTTTTTTGTCAATAATATTATAAAGTTGTATATTACTACATTACTAAACAAAATATTATATTATGACTTAGTGGGAATGTTTTTGTTATCTCTTGTTCTACAATTAGTGTTTATTGTATTTGTATACTACTTAATGTGCAGTCTAACACTTTATATTTAACACTTTGAAGATTTTATATTGCAAAAGATAAGGTGAGAGCTTTTAAGATTTAAAAAAGTCAAACTAAATTGATGAGTAAAGGAGATTAATTTAAAAAAAAAAGCTCTATTTTGAAACATAAACATTAAAAAGGAAGTGTGATGACTTAAACCTACTAAACGGTTATTTTCATGGCCAAATATATTTTTTAAATTATTGGTATATAATTAACCCCTGACATAGTAAAATAAATACTTAACATATATTTTATAGTTTTATGGTGTAGTAACTTTATAACAAATAAATAATAAAAATAATATTAAATAATAAAAATAATGCTATTGTTTTTTAATTTTAAAATAAAATAATGACACTACTAATATTTTACACATATTTTATAAAAAAATATATTTAATTTTGAACAAATCTAATAATTAATAATAATTATCTTATATGAATAAAAAAAACAATTTTTACTTGCTTTTAGCTCTTTTTTTTTTAAGCATGACTCAGTACTATATTACTATCTTACAATACTATTTATTACCTGTATAACTAACATTTCCAGCTTATACAAATTTTTTTTTTTTTTTTTTTTTTTTTTTTTGTGTTATTATCGAAGCCAAGTTCATTAAATAATGGATTATCCTTGGAAACACTAGTGATTGTTAGCGTCAAAAATAATTTTCAAATAAGCTTTTCCATAATGTAATAAACTTTTTAATACAACAAAAACATATTTCTTTGGCAGCAAGTTTAACACTTCTTAATAAATATGTTGTCAACTTTATATGGTCAAAAATAAGTTTAGGTAAAATACAAAAACCACATTCTCTGTCTTCATAGAATATATAAGCAATTTGATTCCACAGTATAAACATACTATCCTCCTACATATATCTTTTTTATCTGTATGTTTTAAGTTGGATAAAGACAGTAACAAATTGTCTTACTTTAATGTGGTGGATCAGATATAAATAATTCATTTAAAATGCCTTTACAACAACTTGCAATTGGCTGAAACTTCATTGCAAGTTACAAGCAACAACTTTTAAGGAGTTTAGTTTACCAATTCTGATTGCTTTCTAAAGTAAAAGAAACGTTTGTGATGCAGTGGCACCAGTTGTGATAAAATCATATTAGTTAAGTATATAATCATACACTGCTGCAGACTTTGAAACTAGAGAATATTCATGAGGTATCTTAGCTAAAGATAACCTTCGATTTTTTCTATTCGATTGTTTCTCTCAAAAAAGATTTTTTTTCTGCATTTGATGCAATAAATCATTGCTTAAACTTATAGTCAAGATTTAAAATAGAATTCTGTAGCATAATTTAATACACTGTGCTCTTTTTTTAAATCCTGTTTGATTATGTACTTTAGTGATGCAATATTTGGTAGCAGACTTTTTCCCATTATCTTTTTTGCATTAAGTATAATTTTTTTTATTTGCTATTATATACATTGCAATACAGCAATATGAACATAAAATTATATTTAAGCTTTTGAATTTTAGTTTAAGTAGCTTTGATATACTAGCTTTTTTTGAATTATATATACAATTTAAAATCTTTATTTATTGTTTTAAATTTTATTTACTGAATAAGTTTTTTACTTAATAATAAAAATAGAAAAACTTTTTTGAACAACGTTTGTGTTGGTATTGCACTCTAAAAAAAGATAGAAATTCTACTGTAGGATAGGATATGTGATATACTCTTAGTAAGGTATAATTTTCTACCTTTTAAGGTAAAAAGTTATACCTTTAAATATACAATTTTCCACCTTCTAAAGTAGAAAGTTATACATTTAGGAAGGAAAAGTGAATAACAAGTCATTTTTTCAATATAATTTAGGTAATAATTAAGGTATAGTTTTCTACCTTAGAAGATAGAAAATTATGCCATATATCCTACCCTAGGGTAGAAATTTTTAACTTTTTTTAGAGTGTGATAAGTGCTTTTAAACCATCTAAAATGATAAAATTTTACCTGAATTTTTCTTGTTTCCATATAAGATACCATCTTAATGTAAAGATGGTATATAGATTATCAACTAATCCAGCTAACTAAACTTTATATAAAATATAGAGTTTATTAGGCTTTATTAGCTAACATTTTAAATAAATATACTCTGAATATACTAGCATTTATACCAATAGACATCCATTTAGTTATACGGTTGATGAAATGTTTGCATCTATAACATATTTTCATATAGCATACTCAAAACACTACAAACTTTGTTATGTAATTACATTAACTACATTAACTGTTAATGTCTTTGTTTTATGCAATTCATCATTTTTATTTGGAATACAAAATATATATGCAATCAAGAATAGTTTCTCGAAACTGAATTACCAAAACAAACACAATTTGCTCATGCCATTTCAATATTTATCCCAGAATATATGCAACTTAACTTAGAGCTAAATACAATGTTTACAATTTGATGCACTCTAAAGTAGGTTGAGTACTAGTATAGAGAGGAAGTTAAGTGTTTTAAGAAAATGGCCTGCGTTTCCAGACTAGTTTCCAGACTATTTAAATACTATGACTATGACTAAATTAAGGAGATAAAATTTAAAAATTTTATTATAAATGTGTTAAAATTTGAGTTTAGTTTAAAAAAAGTTTGCCACTATCTTTAGGGTATTTTATTAGAAGTTTACTTCATGAATTCTTAAAGAAAACATAAATATAAATCTTCATTTTAACAATTATAATTGTTGATCGACTGCATGTTTAAAACAAAGAATTATATATTTTAATTACTCAGCACAGTTAGTGTTTCAAAATAAGTTTTATAAACAATTTACAAATATATGTAAAAAAGATTTTTTTAAAGCACTGCTGGCATTGACTTAAGTTCTGCATTAATCTATTGCGCTGTTAATGAATAAAAGCTTAGGATATTGTGATATGAGCCTGAATGGCAAATTTCAAAAGTTTTGGTTATTATATTGACATTTAATTGATATAGCTTATGAATCCACGTCATCTGATCTATGTCATCATCATTATTACAGCCAACCATTGTATAAACATTATAACTGCCTTATCATTATATCCATTGATATACTTATTAATGGATAACAGAAGTATTTATTTGAAGCATTCAGTGTAAATGTCTGATAACATGTTTATTTTGTTAATAAGTTTTGAATTTGTTGCCTCTGGCAAAGATTTAAGGTTAATAAATCATAGTGATAAATAATAAAAATATTAAAGACCAATAATTTATAATTTAGTTAAATCTATATATTAGGAGGAAAAAGATAAAACTTTTTTCTGGAAAATTACTCAGTATATCACAATAAACTAGTATTATAAATAAGTTTTCTTCATTTGACACCAGTATCAACATATTAGAAATTTAAATATACCCCATGCAACCTAATATTTAAGTATTTTTTAAAAATTACTTTGTTTTGTTTTTTTATTTTAAGGCCCCTAGCAAAAAAATACTTTTTTTTTTTAATGAAATTAAATTCTGGCAATAAGGAAACGTCTTCTAATGGTTATAAAAAATAGTAATATGGAGATTTTTTGCAAGTTCTTAGAGTACATTTTTATACTCTATGATCACAATCATCAATACTAACAAATAAATTGATATTTGTCATAAAATAACTTAATGATCAGCAACAGCATATATTAAAGAAATTGTTTAGTTGAAAACTTTTTAATTATTTTTGATGTTTTTTGTAAATTTTTTCATATGTTAAAATAAACTATTTCTGTTAAAATTTATCTAATTAATTGATGGTAATAATCATGAGAGTATATTATCATAATAATCATTATTAATTATTATTCTAATATAAATATTCGATCATTAATGATAATCATGATAGTTATCATGATAATCATTATTGATTATCATGTTAATCGTCATAATCATTGTGTGCTGGCTGATAATAGTACTGTTATAATGATAAGTCTTGATTATTTTTTATACGTGCTTATTGTTGTAAGATGCAGTTTTTCTAATCTTTTTTGTTAGTATTCCTTAGTATCATCACAATTTAATCAGTAAGTATAATCACAGTTAATCAGCCAGTTTTTTAATTAGGTCAGCTTGAATTTCTATTTTTGCTGAATAAATATTTCTGTATTTGTGGAACAGGTTAAACTGCGGTTATATGGTATAACCGCAAGACAAGGTTGGGGTCCTATACGTATTTGTATTTGAATTTGTATTTTATAAATATTGGCGTATTTTATAAATTGGCGTAAATTTATTCTTATTGTATTTGATCAAAAAATTTCTTAAATATTTGAATTTGTATTCGTATTTGCAATTCCATAAACTAGGTTAACCAGTGTGTATTTGGGAAAATCCAAGAGGTTCGTTGTTGTTTTTTTTTTTTATGTTTTTTTTTTTTCATTTTTAATACTAAAATAATATAAAAATTTGTTTTTAAGGGATTATTGTTAGAAAACCTCTTTTTATTCTTCTATTTAATATACCGTTTTATTAGCCTTGTTTTGAAAAAATCTTTGTATTTTTTGTTAACTTAAAATACAAAAATTTGTAATTTTAGTTGTAATTGGAAAACACCGATTGCATATTTGTATTTGAATTTGTATTTGAAAATCTAGAATTAACGTATTTGTATGTGATCAAATGTATTTGACCCCAACCCTGAACATAGAGTATAAAGTAAAAAAAAACTGAAAAACTGAGCCTTCGTATTTTTTACTATATCTGAATTTTTTTTGTTAAAAATTTTTAAATTAATCAAACGTAACAATTGTTACAGTTAATTTAACTGTTCTAAGAATGAAAAGATAATCATTATTGTAATTATGGAAAAAAAAGCAGATAACGATGCTTGTAATTTTTTAAGAAAAATAATAAAATAAAAAAAGTAATAATAAAATTTTGCAAGTATTAATAAAATTACGCAAAGAATAATAAAATTATGTAAGTAATAATAAAATTATGCAAGTATTTACAGTTATGCTGGTTATAATGATTACAAGCATGATTGTAATTAAGCAAGTAATAATAAAAAATATATTTCAGAAGTTCTTTTTTCCCTAGGTTTTTATTAACTCTTTGTCTCTGTCTGTTAATCTGTCTGTTAACATCAAATATTACAATCATTTTTTGAGTTACTTTCTGATGTTAGATTTTCTTCAAGTTTTGCATACTTACTCTAGCTTGATGACAATACAATATTCAATAATTAGTTTTGCAATAAGTCAGTTAATTTTGTTAATTTTAATTAAATTTATTTTTTATATGAACTTTTATATCCGATTAGCAAAACTTTATGAAAAATAAAAATTTAACCACAATGGCTTAATAAAATAAAATAGTCGTATCAGAAAAAATCGATTGCAAAATTTGTGTTTTAATAGCATATAAAAGCATTTAGTATTAAAAGTTCGTTTTTAATTTTACTTGTTTTTATTTTTTCTTTTTTCGTGTTTTATTAAGATGGTTTCACTTATGAAAAAAAATCAATCATGTCGTGGTTGTCATCTGGAAAATTAACAAGTCCTATGACAAACATTCCTTTGTCTCATACGGAGTTAGTCCCAAATCAGTCGTTAAAAAACGTAATTGAAAAGTTTTTTGGACCTTGAAGAAGAAATAAACATTAGAATTCAAAATATATTATAATAAATTTATTATATTTCAAAGTAACAAATTTTATATAGAATAATTATAAATAATATCTTGTTATTATTTATATAATTACTTAATAAAGATTTTTATTTTGAGAACGAGTTTTGTATTTCGAAGAGAAAGCTCATATTTTTAGAACAAGTTTTGTATTTCGAAGAGAAAACTTATATTTTCAGAACGAGTTTTGTATTTCGAAGAGAAAACTTATATTTTCAGAACGAGTTTTGTATTTCGAAGAGAAAACTTATATTTTCAGAACGAGTTTTATATTTTAAAAAAGACATTTTTAGAACTTATATAAAAGTTTTTAAGTTTTATACAGGCTTTTATTTATAGAGTTTTTTTTTGTTTTATTTTTGAAGAAAATATTTGCTACAACTTGTTTTTATTTGAATCTCAAATGTATAGTAATTTATTTTTGTTTGAACCTCAAGTACTTAGTTTATATTACATAATGTATTTTTGATATACTATATATAATAAAAACAGTATTTTATAATTATTATTATTAATAATATTACCTCTTATTTGTTATATAAGTTTGATTTATTTCTACAAATAAGTTAGTAAGGCACCTTAAGTGATAAATTCTGACAAAGATTCCGAATTTACAAAAATTTGAATTTTTAAGAAATAAATTTTAAAAAAAATTTTTTCTTTAAAATTTAAAATTAAATTAGGAAATTTGGCGAGTTGGAGTTGGCTTCAAGACGCAAATCTTACAAAAATCTTAAGCTACTCAGTTTAATTGGTATCATGCATGTTTCACTGAATTGGTGTTGTTTTAGGCTACTGTTAGTTTAACTGTGCATTTTATATTTCTAAAACCATTGAAAAGCTACTATTCATAAAACGAAAATGTTTCACTTAAGGCCATTGAAACTGTAATCAAAATCATTCACTAAATTTTACCTTCGAGTTTAGTTTATCACAAGAGTCGTATCTCAAGTGACTTTTGAATGAGAGATAGTAAGAGTTTGATAATGTCTGCTTTAACGGGTTGGTTGGAAAATTTCGGGTTTTTAAAAAACCTTTCAAACAAAAATATTTAGCTGAGTAAAAGCTACTCAAGTAACAGGTAAAACTAGATCTTTGCAATTAAAATGACAATAGGTCGTAGAAAAGTGACCAATAATTAATTACTGGTATCATTAATAAATCTGATATCATGATTTTTTTTCCTCCAGTTGATTTTCATACAAAGAACGTTTACCAAGATTCAAGAAGACTGGTTCAACTCCAAATAGAACCTCATAACAAGCAACTACAGACCAAGAAAAATATGTTTTATAAAACAAAAAAAAATGAGAAAACGTGGCTAAAAGGTTATTTGTAGTGATCGACCGAAAATCGGTATTGGCCGGAATTTCAATTTAAACCGATACCGAAAATTTCGGTTCTTTTTATAAGTTATTGCCATATTGTTAGTTTTTTTATTGCCTAATGAAATACATTATTTTCTATTAGATAAATAGCTTTTGAATTAAGCTATGTTTATATTTTTGTTTCCGTAGTTTTCTAACTTTTTAATTAAAATACTATGATCAACAGTGTCGAATGCCTTACTAAGATCTATGAAAACACCTAAAGTGAACTTGTTTTTGTCAAAGCCTTGAAAAATAATCTGAATGAGATGAAAAATGGCATGATCAGTAGAGTGTCCTGTTTTGAAGCCAAATTATTTGTTATAAAGAATATTATTTTTTTCTAAAAATGAGTATAATTTGTTATATGTAATGCGTTCTAGTATTTTCAAGAAGCAAGGGAGTATGGAAATAGGTCTATAATTTAAAATATTAGTATCATCTCCAGATTTAAAAACTCGCACTACACTTGCAGTTTTAAGTTTTTTTGGAAAGATCCCTTGTTTAAAAGAAAGATTAAATATATGCTAAAGAACTCTTTCAATATAGAAAATACATTTAGCTACAATATTACTACTAACATTAATTAAAAAAATCTTTTTATGGACGAGTGTTGTAACTTATAATAGCTAAATACCTCCACATTAACCCATTTTCCACCCCTTATAGCGCCCTCCCTCTCCCCTTCCCAGTAGGATTTGAAGCCTCATTCTGCGCCTGTTCTAGATGATAAAATATTTACCAGCAGAAACTTTCTTTACATTCACAAAAACTGCGAGCTAAAAATATGTTTTTTTTACGGATAAGTTAAAACTTAAAAAAATTGTTTGCGTCAATCATTTTTTGCCCACTGCATGTACGCTTTAACGAAAACCACGAACTCAGTCGTACTTTTAGTTTAGGTTTAAAATTGCAAACTAGCTATTCCTAACTGAGTTTTTAACCTTAATTGTCTAACTCTCAAAATTCCTAAAAGTTTTTTTATTTTAGAATTAACAAATTTATAACCTTTTTTTAACAACGACTTTGTCATAGAGCACCTCGTATGAGTATTTATCATTATTATTTTTTTTTTGTAGTTTATGCCTTTAATCTACCGATTAGGGATGAAAATTTACCGAAAAGTTTTATGAATACTATTTTTTTCGATGTGTGTGTGTGTGTTTTATAATTATCATAACAAGCATATTAATTTATTATTATTTTACTGAGTATTCAAATAAAAGGTTTTTACTAATGTCATTTTCAAATAAATTTTTATTTGTCATTTTTAGATTATTATCTAACATTATATATTAATATTCTTTTAACATTTAATGAAGAACTAGATAAAATAAACTAAATATGGACTTCGATATATTAGACTTTAAATTCATGTTTTGAAAATTTAATTGTTTGAATCAAAAAATTATTTTAAATCTGTACTACATTTCTTTAACTTTTTAATTTTGTTTGTTTTTGTTGTACTTTTGTTGTGGTTTTGTTGATATTAAATAATTATTTATAATAAAACACAACACCATTTTTGTGGATTGATAACTTCTTGGTTATCTATCTTTTGTTTCATTTTATTACTTCAATTATTCTGTTGAAATATTGTTGTTAAAAATTTATATTTTTCATTTTGTAAGTTTATTTTTTTGAAAGTTTTTTTGTGTATATACTATTGTGTTGATTATTTATTTCGCAAGTAAATATTTAAAACGTTTTCAAAATACAAGTATAACGGGGGCTCGGCGATAAGGCAATTTGTCTTCTTTTTGCTCCTGCCAGGTTTTTTATTTAATTGTAATTTATTTTTGTTATTTTAATTAACGGCAAATATATATATATATATATATATATATATATATATATATATATATATATATATATATATATATATATATATATATATATATATATATATATATATATATAACAAACAAAAAAAAACACAGCAAGTGCATTTATAACATAAATGTACTAGCTAATTTAAGCAACCTTAGCGCAGTTAGGCAACCGTAGTGCGCTTGCCTTAGAAGCTTGAGATCCATGGTTTAGCACCACCACTGGGCAACTTTAATAACATTGGTAAAGAAGGTGATGTGAATTTCTTTTCAAATGCTATTCCGCGGTGCTCTGTGATAAGACCGTAAGGACTTTTTAGGGCATTTGAAATATAATTTTAAAAAAATGTATCTACTTTTTGTTGTTCCACAAAAGTCGTATACGTAAAAGTAACATATCACAACCTCTAAACAACAAGGTTTTGACTAACAACAAAATCTATTGTGAGTTAAAACCTTTTGTTCTGAGCTGGCAAACTTGAGCGTTTTATTGCTTTTTTTTAAAAAAAGCGCGATTCTTTAATTGATAAACTTGGTTATAAAAATATGACTAAAAGATGTGTTTGTCGGTCTTTATTATTTTATATTTTTGGTTGAAATATTTGAAGAATATTTAAATACTACAATAATACAAAACACATGCTTTTGAAACAAAAAAATTTTATAAAACTATATAAGTTTATTGAAATAAAAATATTTTGAATATTTTTCTGGAAATTTTAAACAAAATTTCCCGGAAAATTTTCGGAAATTTTCAACTCTACTACCGGTGTTGCAAATATAGATAGAGTTGGTATCGAACCTCAGCTCTCTCGATTCTGGAGCATAATTAACTAGTGGTCTACCGAAACAGGAAATACGTCGGAACTAAAATAAACCAAAATTTCAAGTATAATATTTCGAAAACCAAACCGAAACCAATACTTTGCCAAATATTTTACCAAAATTAACACCGAAATTCTGGCAGATGCAGGGCCGGGTTTGGCGATTATATAACGGTGAGTTTTGAAATGAAGCGATAAACTGTCGGTTTTGTGCTAAGGATCATTAGATTTGCAAGATTTTCCGTTACCAATGTTACAATTGACGTAGCTAGGGCCACTATTGGAGATAAAAACGCTCTATTGGAGTTAAAACGCTTGCAAACCTAACTTTTTTGACAACCCTTTACTATTTTATAGAATGCGAACGAACAAGTGATCATAAATAAATAATGAGAATAATAAAATCTCTTAAAAAGATCTATAAAAATGACTAAAAGCTATCATCCAAATATGACGCGCACTGCTATGGTTTGACTGTTTGTGGTTTTAATATTTTTAAAAGCGGGTGGATAAGCGCTATTTTTTTTATTTTATTTTTTTTTTTTTTTTTGCATTCGCTCCCAACAAGGCTGCAAGCAACCACTATTAAGTTGGGAGTTACTAGGAAAAAAAAGAGCAGAGTTATAGAGCAAGGAAACGGTTGACAGAAGACTTGAAAAGTTAAAGGTTGTATGAGTCAGGAAAACATGAAGATGGGAGAGAGTTCCAAAGGATTGAAGTGCGGGGAAAAAAACTAGATGAATAAAAGTTTTTAGAGCATGCAGGGGCAGATACAGTAAACGAATGAGACTTAGCTGAATGATGAGTAAAACGAGAATGAATTTTAGTTGATGGAACTAGAGATGATAACTCCTTTGAGCAGTGACCATGATAGTATTTGTAGAAAAGAGAAAGAGATGCAACTTTACGACAATGGAAATGAGGTTCAAGCTTAGCAGATAATCCAGGTCCAACAACATTTACAATGCGATTTTGGACCTTGTCAAGAAGAGAAAGTGAATCGTTAGAAGAACCAGCCCAAATATGACAACAGTATTCCATACAGGGACGAATAAGAGATTTGTAGAGGTAGAGAATGGAATCAGAAGTAAGGAAATGGCGTGCACGATAAAGAGAAGCAACCTTAGCAGAAGCTAATTTAACAATCGATTGTATATATGGTTTCCATGAAAGGTCAGTAGTAAGCAATAATCCAAGAAGACGTAAAGAGGAGGACTCAGTAAGAGGATTACCCTTCATTAATATAGGAATGTTGACCATATTACGGTAGTTGTTTGCATTAAACAACTGGGTTT